GCGTCCTGCGGGTCTACCTCCACTGCCGCGCCTCGACTCAGCAGAGAGGAGACCTCCGCTTGCAGTGCTTCTTGATCCCCGTACCTGAGAGCGTGCTGCCTGTACGCCTCGGAATGGTGGTGGAATTGCAGTGCGTAACCCCTGCGCAATGTTTTCTCCAGCCATAGATTCGTCAGCAAACCTTGCTCCCTCCAGATGCTGTAGAAGTCTGTGAGGGGCGGAACGCGAGCTGGAACACGAGACGTCACGGCCCCGCCCCCTCCTGGTGTTCCTAGCAGGGAGTGGGGGTGGACGAAAGGGCCGGGGGGCCCCCTGTGTCACACCGTGAGCGCCGGGGGCGGTCACGTGTCCTGCAGGCCCGACGTCATAAGTACGGGACTGCTCATCCCACGTGACTCGGCTGCTGTGCCCCCCCCTGGCTCTTGCCTCATGGAGGGGGGGGCAAGCCCCTGGAGTGGGAAACCCCGTGTTAGCCTTGTAGCTCAGAGATGCTAACACGCGTTCGGCCGAAGCACACACACCACTACTCACCAGATCCCTCTGCCTGACCTCTCTCTGGGAGGGCATAGCATGAACCAGAGAACCGTAGCTCGTAGCTCGCGTAGCGCACTGCACACCCTGCTCTGGGGGCTGCAGGCCTAGCGAAGCAACGTTATGTGCTCGAGAAGTAACACAATCAGAATTCACAAGATTATTTGACATGTTACATACCCCCAAATGAGACTCAGACAGCGAGTAATGATGAAATGCCGGTCGGCCTTTATTGAAAGAATTCTTCCCACCCTGACCTCCTCTGCCATAGGGAGGTCGGCGGTGGGTGCGTTGGTCCCGCGAGCCTCCCGTGGGTCTGTCTGGACCCGGGGGCCTCGTTGAGGGCGGACGATAGGCCACAGAGCGTGGATATGGGTCAGGGCGCCTCCCGGGCGAACGCTCCCTGCCTCTGTCCCGGCTCCGTGCTGGTGGGCGGGCCTCGCGCCTCGGCGCTAGGTGCTGGGCTAGGCTAGCCGAGTCCTTGGCTGCGGTCTCCAGTCTAGCCACCAGGGTCTGCATGTCCGGACTGAAGAGGGACGTCTGGGAAACAGGCAGGTCCAGCAGCTGCCTCTTCTCCGCCTCCCTGATGTTAGCTAGCCCAAGCCAAAGGTGCCTGGCCCCAACTTGAGCTGCTGCCATGGAGCGGCCGCCATCGACAGCTAGCGCCTGGCACATGCGCAGGATCGCCGCTGAGGTGGTCCTCGCCTGTGATAAGGTGTCTCCACTGAGCGCCTGGCCAGAAGAGAGCGACCTATCCAGGGCCCCCGTGATGAAGGCCATGTTATTCGCCACAGCGACGACCTGTGCCGCATTGGCGTAACATCTGTCCAGCATAGCCAAAGACGTCCTGTCCCGCTCGGAGGGAAGGAGAGGTCTGGTGCCGGGCCACACGGATGCGGAGGGGTGCAGGGCCATGCGGACCGAATCCTCGATGTCCGGGACCCCGCCGGTCCAGGACCAGTCCTGCACGCTGCAATACATGCCGTAGCCCAAAGCGGGCCTCTTGGCCGCTAGGGGCTTTGGCCACTCACGTGTCGCGTAATGGACGATCGGGTCCATCCGCGGGCACAACGTGGGCTGTATCCTCCTCCTCCCTCGAGTGGTGGCGTAACCAGAGGTGAAGTCCTCCGCCCTCTGGGTCGGCTGCGGTGGCAGGGGGGCATCCATGATGGCCGCCGCGGAGGAGTAGAGCCCAGGCATGTGGTCCAGTGGGAAGCGGTCCGGCTCCGGGTTCGACACCACCTCGTCCAGCGTGAGGAGGGAGCCGACCTCCGAAGCCTCTCCATCCTCACAGCCACCCCACTCCGCGGGCACGGGTGGAAGGTCGAGTAGGGCCCAGTCAGTCTCAGACTCCTCGTCCTGAGAGGAGTCCGGACGGGGCGCTGCAGCGGCGAGGTACGCACGCCTGCGTTCGCTCTCCTCCCTGGGGAGAGCGAGACACGAGGTGCAGGTGGCGCTCAACGCCGCATGGCCCGGGCCCAGGCACATGAAGCAGCTGAAGTGCTGGTCCGTGCGCTGGAGCCTGACTCGACACGTCGAGCAACGACAACGTCCGACGCCGGAGGGCGAAGGGGAACTCGGACGAGCATCAGAAGACATCTTTCTCTGGAATAAAGTAAGTACTGTGGAAGATCTCAATCGGCGCCAGAGTGAAAAAGGGGGTGCGGCCTTGTGCAGGGGCATTTATAGAGGAGGGTGGCTGGTGATTGGAGCAAATTATTTCGATCTCTCTGGCGTGTGACCTGGGGGTCACGAGTGATATCCCACTAGCGAAGTCCTAAGGGACGTAGCACCATGACGTAGAACCACATGTCAGTCACTTTACTGTGTCCCAGAGCCTCATGTCTCAGATGCTAACATATAACTTCACTTTGCTTGCACTAGAATACACAGTACTTTATACTTGCCTCTTAGCCAAATGTAAAACTTTTACACTTCTTGTTATTATTTTCAAGATTGAGATTTTATACTTGTTATTGATGCTAGAGTTAGAGATTTTGTTTTATTTCACTTAACTTGTGCTGTGTGCTCCTTTTCCCTACTGTTCAATAACTTGATGATGCAACACTGAAATTTCCCCACTGTGGGACAAATAAAGGATCTCTATATCTGAATTACTGGTATAATCATGATGATAAAGTGCTACAACTACTTACTCTGAAAATGACCTTCTGACCCACATGGGGATATGTTTTTGAGAGTCGAAGAGTTGTTTTAGAGGCCTCTTGGAAATCCTTCTTCCACTCAACAGCCTCTTCCCGTGTTCGGATTGGAAGGCGTAAAGTTGCTGAAAACCCATTCTCAGAAGGAAGGTCCTTGAAGGAACATATTCGATGCTCATATTGATCGGGCAATATGGCCTTAAGCGTACAAAAAACATGGACATATGTTAATGGTGATTTCACATTAAATTAGTTATACCATATCCCACACTTATGTAGCTATATATTCAATGTCAATGTATTACTTGTTCTTCTTCCTTCTTGTAAATGAATCATGCAATGTTATTTTCTATATATATTCTTGGCCCTTGTAAGTCCTGTTTTATATGTTGTTTTTATCAAGCATTTATATAGTTTCAAACTTTGAAATTTTACAATAAGTCAGAAATTAATCTATAAATGAAGCTGCACATTAGCAATTGACATTAGCAAAATCCCGCAGTCTGTTTTACCCATAGACTGTTTTACCATTACAATTCATGAATAAACCTTTATTATCATAAGTATTTTACCTTTAGCCGTGACAATTGCGGGTCATCAATGGAATTACTGTCACACCCACAGTCGAAATGTGAAGACATTTTAGTTTAATATTACATACACTTTCACATTACACATACACAAACACCCGCGAATGAGACGGTTATACCAAATACTGTAGATATTAAAGTTATACAGGGGTACACAGGTACGCATGCGCGACAAAAAGCAATAATAACACTTGAGTTCACCGATCGTAACATGTCACTTTATTATGTTCACAAGCACGGTGTCAGTCCTGATTTAGTCCTGGTTTAGCTGTTGTTTTGGTTTTTCATTATCCTGTTTTGATCAGCGGCTTTTGGCAACGTGACCACTTTGCTCCTCTCTGTCGTGCGGCCTCTCGAGTCGTGCAATGTTTATATCCACATTTGCCTAGTATGGGAAATGTTTTTTTTCAATGAATGAACACATAAAAGATAAACATTGTTTTTATTATTAGGTTAATGTAATTCACCGTCGTCTGCCGGCGCGTTGAACACGTCACTTCAGACTAGCTTTCTGATTGGCTGAAATCGGTCCCTGTGGCAGAACCTACCTACGAATAAAATACTCGCCTCCCGGCAGTGTACTCACTTCCTGTGCCAGACCCTCAGAACGTACCAACATCATTCTGCCTTTTAACAGCAGCTGTGAACATGGGAACTGAACCTAGAGCTTCGCGTGGTCTCGTTTTGACGAACGAAGGAGTAGAATTATCCTCTGTGCCGCGCTGGAAGCCCACAAAGCTAGTTAGTGTGACCGCCGCCATTGTTGTTGATGTTTGTTCTCCGCTACTGCGCATGTCCAAATTTACGTGCGGGGAGCAGCAGGAGGTGGGGGTCAGAGCAGAGGGGGATTTCACACCTTTTCCCTCTCGCGGGTGTGAAAGAGAGCCCCCGCTGTGCAGTGTATCTGAGTTGTCCCACTCCGCAGGCTGGATCTGAACACTTACGTTTTCACCCCCCTGGAACACAGTCTTCGTATGAACGGTTGGTAGAAACCGACATCCAACGATACCGTTTTACTGCCACATTGTCTCCGTGTAAACTCAGCCTTAATATACATATCTTGTGATGGAACACTGGCATGTCTCCACTGCAGGACAAAAAAACGGATCCCCTTCATCTTAATATCTTAAGAAATATTAGAAACAAAATAAAATCCTTTATTTACTAAACAATCATAAAATACATACTTAACGTAGTTGGTGTAGCTCTATTTTACAGTCTATTTCATGAAAAACCTTTGAGTTGACAAATAATATTTTGCATATTGACTCCTCAAAATGCAAAATATTATCTTTATATTTTCCACTGGGGTTTTGAGTTGTTCCTTGGCTAATGGTTATGATGTGGGACATTTATGGATATTTATAAACATCTATGAACATGGTTTTTATTTCCTGTGTTCAAGCTGTTTGATTCTCTGATATTTGAGACGACCGTTATTGTGATATAGGGCTATACAAAAATAAATGTCATTGAATTAATAAGATGTAACGCTTGATATTCAATTTAAGCTTAAGGGCTTGTGTATCAACTGAATCCGCATGGCTCAGGTTGGGAAACACTAGTAACCTACTATACATATCTATGGTTGTTTAGCTAAGAAAATATTATGCAAACATGACATTAAGTCCTTGTTCTGCTAGAGAAAATGTGATGTACATATTATTGTAAACAATGATGCCTACTACACACATTGTGAGAAAGTGAACAGTGAAAGCTACGTATATTTGCCTTTTTTTGGTGGCACTTCTGTAACATTGTGTATAAACTCGTAGAGCTGCTTAGCATTGGTATGGCCGCCCATTATTTTTGTCAGCTTCTCTTGGCTGAGCTTGGCTAAATCCACTAAGCTGTCTGCATTTCTGATAATTGTCCGGCAGTTTTTGGCATTGACCCCAGGCATCTTCAACAGAAAGTCGTATGGCCCTGGGTTGTAGAGGTCAGCAGACTCAGTCAGCATCTCTGACTCGGCTGTCACGGCTTGGGCAGCTGTGGCGTCTGGTTCCAGCCTTCCGTGTTTGAGCTCCGCAAACAGCTCGGCTGTGGCATGGGGTGACGGGCACCAGAGGATGCGCAGCCGAGGGAAATGCAAAGTTAATAAGGTGAGTTTAGAAGACACGTCATTGGAGGATATCTCATTTCTGAAGTCAGAGCGGGACATGAGGGAAAAAGGCTTGGCCGGGTCGAACTCTATGAGCAGCACTGGTTTCTTGTAGTAGCGCGTCATGGAGAGGCACTGCGTGTAGAGGCGGCCACTCTGCAGGGAGCCAATCAAGTCGCTGACGCTCTTACGCTCCACGCACACATCTGGAGTGAGGATGTAGTCGCCAACCTCCAGAGTAACCGGCTCAATGTCCAGTCCGCGGCGGTGCAGCAGCGATGGCAGCTCGCTACGAAACTCGCGCATGTCCACAATCACCCGCGAGGGCTCTTTGGGCTGTTCCTGCCCCCCTGAAATCAAATATAGATTGATTATTAGTATTTGTATTACATGAAATTTGCCATTTATCAACAAACACATTTCAATAGTTAAAAATGGCTTCCAGGTCTCTGAAAAAAAATCCCCAAATGAGTTCATAAAATATTTAAAGTCGCCATTGTCTATCATCTTAAAGAGACTAAAAATGTGTGTAATAAAAATGTGAGATACCTGCTTTGCGGGTGTTTGTGGTGGCATTAGCCGGTTCCAAATTTCTGGCGAGGTCCAGATTAGTGTCCGCTCTGCCCTCTCGCTCCTCTGGGATCACCATGGTAGCCTTTTCTCTGCAAAACAACCACTGATTTTAATTTTTCACAAATGTTTTGAACAAAGCAACAGTTTTATTTCCAATATCAGAGATACCACAGTCTATAAAATTACGCTGCGACCAATGTTATTACTGTACGTCTTGTGACAATTTCTAATATAGGTCCTAAGGTTAACTTTCTCAACCAAATATACAAGTTTTATGGGCTAGGAAGTAACAACTTACCGTGCACTCACTAAAGACAAAATAAAAAAAGAACTAAAAAGAAAATGTGACGATTACAGCCACCAATTTAAAACTAATGCCTGGCATAAGTTTTAAGTTTGTGAAGTATTGCAAATTTTTTTTTGCTAAATTAAAGAAATGACAATATTGACAGTTTATTAATCTAGTTAATGTACTTTAAGATTTAATGGTTTGCCCCATTACAATAATAATAATAATAAATCAAACTTGTATAGCGCTTTTTTGGACACTCAAAGACGCTTCACATGGGATACAATGAAATAAAAAAGGGGTTCACGGAAAAGCTTGTTTGCAAAGAAGAGTTTTGAGTACTCATTTAAAGTTTGATAGTGAGTCAGAGTTTCTAATGGGCAGTGGGAGTGAGTTCCAGAGGGTTGGGGCGGCAATAGCAAAGGCTCTGTCCCTCAAGGTCCAGCGGTTTGTGCGGGTGATGGGAGTGAGGAGGTTGGAATCAGCTGAGCGAAAGTGGCGGGTGGGTTGGTGTTGTTGGAGCTCTGTAAGGTAGGGCGGGGCCAGAATATGGAGAGACTTGTAGGTGAGGAGAAGGAGCTTGTAATGGATGCGGTATTGAACGGGAGCCAGTGGAGCTTCTGGAGGACAGGGGTGATGTGTTCTCTGGACCGGGTGTGGGTGAGGAGGCGGACTGCAGAGTTCTGGATGTATTGCAGTTTTTGGAGATGAGAGGTGGGAAGTCCGTAGAGGAGGCTGTTCCAGTAGCCGAGTCTGGAGGTGATGAATGTGTGGATGAGGATTTCGGCTGTTGACTGGGTAAAGGCCTGTGTACACTCGCGGAGCGCTGCTTACGGTTACGTTGGACCTACGTAACCACAGTTTGTGGTACACTTGCGCGTTCCCCGAATGTTGTAATCCCACAACCAACCACGTGATGGCGAACTCACAGGAGTTGCCTAATAAAGCGGTTCCATTTGTGCTGCTACTTTCTCCTGTTCAGAACAAAAATAGCAAAGCTGTTTGAGCTCATTACATGTGTTTCTACTGTAGGTTTATGTGATAGTTCTATGGAGTCATCGTTTCAACTCATTTAACTGTGAATAAAGACAGCTCTTGTTGGAAACATAGTTATTATTCAATTGTATTCAGCACAAACAGCAAAACAATAAGTGGTAAATATCTGAGACAAATATTAACTATTTACAAGAGCAGGAGAAATGCAACAGACGCGATAAGCTACGAGTGCAGATTCAAACAAAGACATAAAATTTGCAGTTGTTTCTTTTGCACTGTTCCTAAGTTATATATATGTTAGATATAACATATCTATGTTAGATATGCAACAGAACTGAACAGTCCGCAGTCTCCGCGTAAATCAGGCTCTGCCATGAGCCCAAACTACTTTTCCTTTGGTTCCTTCGAAGCGTGAAGCAGTCTGCTCCATAGTGCCCCGTCCATGTTCCTGCAGCCGCTCCGTGCTTCCTTCCAATACACACACACGGACCAATCACAGCAGAGCTTGTCTGCGCCGACCCTTACGTAGTTAGACATTTGAGGGTGCAACGTAAGGGCCTTGCGGTGATCCACGCGTTGCGCAAGTGATGTCACGTCACCACCGTAAGGTCTGTGCCGCGCGACTACACACTAGGCTCAAGGGAGGGGCGGAGGCGGGCAATGTTGAGGAGGTGGAAGAAAGGTTTAGGTGATGTGTTTGATATGTGTTTGTAATGAGAGGGTGGAGTCCATTATAATGCCGAGGTTGCGTACAGAGGGTGAGGGGGTGACAGTGTGACCGTCAATGAGGAGGGTAAAGTTCTGGACAGAGGGCAGGAGAGATTTGGGGCTGATGATGATAAGTTCTGATTTGTTACTGTTGAGTTTGAGAAGGTTATTGTAAATCCAGGTTTTAATGTCGGGGAGAAGAAATTAGTGATGGTGGAGAGAATGACTGGGGTGATGGGTTTGGTGGAGATGTAGAGTTGAGTGTCGTCGGCATATCAGTGGAAATGGAGTCCATGGTGGTGGATGATCTGGCCGAGGGGAAGCTAATAGATGGTGCAGAGGAGAGGGCCGAGCACGGAACCTTGGAGGACACTGTGTGGGAGTTGCAATTGATGACAGAGACGAAGTGGAGATGATCGGAGAGGTAATAGGACAACCCGAGGAGTGCTGTGCCAGAAATGCCAATGGATTGGAGACGGTGGAGGAGGATGGAATGGTCTATTGTGTCAAATGCAGCGGAGAGGTCGAGGAGGAGGAGAATGGATAAGGAACCAGAGTCGGCGGCGAGGAGGAGGTCATTCGTAACTTTAAGAAGTGCTGTTTCTGTGCTGTGAACGGAATCCAGATTGAAATGTTTCGAAAAGATGGGAGGAGTGGAGATGTTGGTGGAGTTGGGTGATGACGGCGCGTTCCAGGATTTTGCAGAAGTGGAGAATAGTGTGCGGGGGTTGGAAGAATTAGAGTGGATGAGTTGTGAAAAGAATTTGGACCGAGCAGTTTTGAGAGCAGAGTTGTATGTGGCATGTTTGTATGCTTGGGCATGGACGGTGAGACCAGTTTTTGTATGGAGCCGTTCGAGTTGTCTCTTGTGTTTGAGATTGTGGAGATCTGGGGTGTACCAAGGGGCAGAGGTGGAGAAGGAGACTGAGGCAGTTTTCACGGGGGCCATTTGGTTGAGGCAGGAGGAGAGTGTGTGGTTATAGAAAGTGACTAGATCAGAGGCAGATGGATCTGAAGGAAAGGAAGAGCTGGATAGGGCATGGGATATGGAGAGAGAGATGGGACTAATAGACTTCAGATTTCGAAAAGTAATTGTTCGTGTCTGTATAGGTGGTGGGAGAGAGGGTAATGATGTCCAGGGTAATGGCCAGATGATCAGAAATGGTCAGGTCGGTGAGTGACAGATTGTGTATGGTGAGGGTGGGTGTGGAACAGACCAGGTCCAGGTTGTGTCCATGGTTGTGTGTGGGTGAAGTGCTGGGTTAAGGCAGTTTAAAATGTCCAAAAAGATGTGAATTTAACTGCAGGGGAGTCAATATGAATGTTGAATTCACCAAAGAGGACAACGGATGGATAAATGCAGGACAGCTGAGTAACAAAATCAGTAAAATCCAAAAGAAATGATGGAAAGGTTTTGGGAGGGCGGTAGATGACTGCAGCAATGAGTGATTGGGAACTAGGAAGTCTGAAAGCCAGGTGTTCGAATGAAGATACAGCCGGGATGGAGATGGGGCGGAGGGAGATGTCGCTGTGGTGGATGACTGCAATATCCAGGTGGGGTTGTCTGATTTAACGGTGGTGTATTCCATGGGTTTGTGCCAGGTTTCAGTGAGACAAAGTATGTCCAGTTAATTGTTAATGATGAATTCACAGAGGAGCAGGCTTTTATTGCTGAGTGAACGTGTGTATTGAATAGTGGTGTTTTAAGAGGATTTTTTGTAAAGTCCGTGTGGCGGAAATAGAGGCAGACAGGAGGTTTGATGTAGTCACGTGATGAGTGCTCAGATGATGCATGCGGATATTGCTGCAACTGAGCAGGTGTGAGCTGCGCATGGATCTGCAGGCGGACCAGACAGAGGGAATATAGTTATCACCAGTGAAATTGTACACAAGGTTGCGACGGGACCCTCGGTGGATGTAGTGGCGATGGCGGAGAAGACAGTGTTGAGCAGAGTTGAGGTGATGTCCAGTGAAGAAGGTGCGCGGGGGTTGGGTCTGATGAGCTGTGAGGACGTGTAACGAAGCTTGTCTGAATATTGATAAAGTCTACAAATATTGTCCAAACAAGTACAAATATACAAATAGATATAGACAAACTCGTATTTCCTCTTATTATACAGCTCTTCACAGCAGCAGAAGAATGCTCCACTGATTTTGAATGCAATTTCAAAATGTTCTACCACTCATTATTTCTTGATAACTGACCTCTGAGCTTTGAGCAACACGTGTGGTCGCATAAATGAGAATTTTAATATTAACAGCGAGTATGGGGATTTTGGGCACTGGTGGGAGGCCCAATCTAATTCACCGTCTCCCAAATGTAAAATAAAAATTCTAGAAGAACAGGAAGAGAAGGACCAAGAAGAACAGTTAGTGAAGACTAACAAGAGACAAAAACGGCTGACGAGATTAATGAAATAGAGGAAAACCGCCATGAGAAAAAATACAAAGAATAGCACTATTTGGGCAATGAAAGTATTCCGAGATTGGGTAAAAAAAGAGACCCAAAATACGTCAGCCGCAGAAGATGCAGATGGGTTGAACACGTGATTAAGAATGTTTTATCCATCAGTGCATACCAGCGCTGGAGACATCTACTCTGCGGCAAGTTACACTGCTCTGCGTAGTGGAATAGAACAGGTCCAAATTATAATTCTCCCCTTGATTGGATTTTAGTGACGCACCCCAATAGGATAATTCATTCTGGTGTTCTCTCAGATTGTATTAGTGACCATTCTATGATCTATTGTGTTTGGAAAATGTCTACCCCGTCTTCCTCCTAAACATATCTGGGTACGTGATATTAAATCATTTTATATTGTTGCATTTATTAACGACTTACAAATGGTCAATTGGACCAGGCTGGACCTAATTCCAGATGTTGATAATGCATGGGACTTCTTTCATTCTGAACTTATGCAAGCTATTAACAAACATGCACCATGGATCTATATCAAGGTCAAAGGTAATCATTTACCCTGCGTAAATAGTTATCTTTTAAACCAGTTTAAACAAAGGGATAGGGCCTGGAGCAAATACAAACTTTCATCTTGTCCTAGTGACTGGGAGGAATATAAACGGCTAAGAAATATATGC